CAGGAACAGGGATGTGAAAAATGCCATGAGGAAGTTGTGGAACAGATTATTGGTGGTTTCTAATGAAAAGTAAAACATTAATCTCTGATTTATCATTAATCATCTAACACTGAGTAATAAGTCAAATTTTTAACGTAAACCTTATGTGGATGAACCTTGTAAGATAGGAGGTAATACAATAAAAATGACATTAACATGGGTTTTATGAAATTTTTCACACTTATATCACTACTAGCTCTGATATGGAACTCAGTATCATTTTATGTGAATGAAAAAATGTTAAATAGGCTTACATAGAAACTAATAATTAAATAATTTTGAGTGAAATTACCTGGTCCATCACTTGCCACTCATTCCATGTTTTATGTAACTTTTGTCGGGGAGGACAAATACATTTAGTGATTAGGAGCAATGATCTTTTTCAAGTGAAAAGCAATTTATTGTTAAGGCATGAATATTTTTGTCTGAAGAAGAAACAATCATGACCTAGGTCTTAGGATGGACCAGAATATTTTCAGAATCTCAGTGTAGGTGTTTCTATATCATCTGGCCATGTTACAGAATTTCATGAGAGAGAAAATATGACTACAAGATAAAACAATTTACATACTTGTCTATGGAGAAGTTATATTGGGATCTGGTGATTGCTGTATATTTTTGGCTCTTAAGCAATGTAATAATATAATTCCTGTTAACATTCAGTGGATTTGCTAAAATTACTAATTTATTTTTAATTTTTAATTTAAAAAATTTTTAAAAGATTCATTTATTTATGTATACAAGAGCTAGAGTACAGGCCAGAGGTGCAGGGGATGTGAGAAGTCACCAGAGACAGAGTGGAGAATAGAACAGGCAGATTGACCAAAGTACACTGCTGAGCAGAGCAGCGGGCAAGACAGGAGAGGTCTGCTGCACCACATGGGTTGCTCCCTGGCTGGCTGGGGATCAAATTCGTCCTGCAGAGGCTGCGGATTGCTTCATAGTGTGGTCCTTAACCCATTGAGCCACCAGGGAGGCCCTCCCTTGTCTTTTAAATGGAAGAACTTAATAGGAATAATGTTAAAATAAATAAGGGTGATTACCAGTTGCCTTTATAAAGAAAAACTTGGAAATGAAAGAGGTTTGGAGACATGTTAAATTCACATAGCTGAGAAGTAGTGAGGACAAGACTCATGTCTACCTGGCACATTTTATCTCTCTGACCTTTTAACTGACCTCAAAGACATTTATGACTCTAGAAGAGATGGGAGCAAAGTCTGTGCAGAAGGGAACAGAATTTTCTCACCTGAAAATCACTGTTGAGTTGAAAAGTAACTAATTGACCCCAAGGTTTGCCTTCGCCCTTAGAATTGTCTGAACAAAACTACTGTTTGAAATTCCTTTGGGACTAAGTTGGAAGAAGTTGTTTCCTTGGGGCTCTTGAAGCTAAAAAGCCTGCCTTAGACATTAGTAAACTTTTGTGAGATAAACCATAAATATCCAGTGCAGTAAAACACTTATTAACTCACATTTTTTCAAAAGAGAAACTATGGGAAGAGAGCTGATTTCACAAGCATTTCTCTCTCAGAGTCAGAAAGTTTCCTTCAAGAATCCAGTTCAGAAACTTCCCTTATTTTTCAAGACTTGTTCCCTGTTCTAATAGAACTTGTTTTGTGCTTCTGGGGAGGAACTGTGGTATGTCTACATGCAGGGTCCTCTTCCTCCATCAACTCTCTGCTCCTCCAAACCTCTCTTGATAGAAAGCAGTGATAAATCTCAATGCAGTGGAGTTTGCATGTTTTATTCAGGCTTTGTATGATTCACCACCTGAGAAAATTATAGTGGAAGATATGAAAATATAACTTGCTGGAAGTCAACTATTTGTTCACAGAAATAAGGTAAGGGTTTCAGTCTGTATGAAGCATTTTCTTCACACCACCTCCTCAAGACTGATCTGATAGAATTTATACTGTGTGTCTTCTGAAAAAGTGATGAAGGATTATGGTGAGTCAGTGTAAGCCTGGCCAGCCTCAGCTCAGAGCTCACAGAGAGGTGATTAACTACACCATGACAATGAGGACAGCTTGACTTCAATTTTTATCTGGGGTGGGGGTCTCTTTGTTTGATGAGTTTTAGGACTGGGCTGCATTTTCCAAACACCTGGGTTTTCAAGAACCTTGACATGCTTGCTTATGAACCAGACCCTCACCCATCTCTGGCTTAGGGCAGGTAGGTACAGTAGGTCAGGGAGAAAGCAGATGGACTCTATGATGCTCTGGGGTTAAGGAGCCCTCCCTTACATCTTTTACTCAGCTCTCTTCTCTGTTTTTATGATTGTATATCCTGACTCTTCTTTGGTTCTGCTCACCATCATGCGCTTCTCTTCTGCTCAGACTTTATTCAGTCTCTGCCTTAATCTACTCTTCACTGTTAATCCACTTAGAGGTATCTTCTTTGATTTTTGCCTCACTATGTAGTTTGCATAACTGGTTTCAGTGGTCAAGCCAGGAAATTACATCCTTCTCTACTGACATCTACTGACATCCCTCTCTGATGGTTCAGACTTTCTCATTTCCAGGATGTAATGTACATGGTGGGTGAGATTTGATATTTTATAAAACACAGGAAGTGGATGCTGAAGAGAGAGGCTAACTGTTAGCACCCAATTCTCATTCTAGTCTGTTTAGCAAACTTTCTGTTATCACAGGTCAAACTTTGAACATAGAAAAGAGTAGTACAATGACTACACATATCTTTCAAGAAAATGTGCAGATTAGATGAAAAACAAAAGTGAAAACTTGTGAAATGATAAAGTTTTGGAAAAAGAATAATAGATAATGCAGGCTTGCCTTATTCAATGAATAATATATACATGTTTGTGTTTATATATGAATTAATGTAAATAGCATCATGGGGGATTGAGGCACAGGAGAGGAAAGGAAGACTTTTGGTAAAAAATGTAATTTGAATTGATTAAAATTTCAACCAACAAAAGTGAAGATTGAGGGTTAAGGAAAGTAGCATACTCTACTGCTATAATGTCCTCGCCACCCCTACTCTCCACTCCTCAAATCAGAAGGGGAAGATAGTACAGGAGTGTTTAGGAAATAATGACTGAATTCAATGATAAAATGCGGAGATGATAAAACTATTGATGTTACCTAATGTCTATCTTGTTAAATGCTTATTTTCTTTCATTGGGCTCAAGCCTTCTCTGCTTATTTAAAATAAAAGAAATAGAATCACTTAATCAGCTAATAGAAATAGCTCGGCTTTTATACTTGTCCATTACATACCAGCAAATTTGCCTCATAACTTTTCGATTTAATGAGAGTGTAGCTTTTTATGGACATAGATCTGTGTTTATCTGAAGGCACATTTCTCCTCTTAAGACTTTTTTGTTGGCTCACTCTTCTCACCTGGTTATTTTGCCCTTCACAGCAAAATGTTCCTTCCCTTTAGTCTTTAACCTCTACAGAACCTAATGTATTGAAAACAGGTGATAATGAATTCATTTTCTTTTCTATAGTTCTCAGAAAGAATTGAAAATTCAGAGCTTGTACTTAATGACTTCTCTAGTCTATCACATTGAACTAGTAGTATTTTAGTTGTACTCTAAAGACACTTAAAAGTTTTACTTAAATGTGTAAGTTTATAAAAGGTAAGTGGACAAGTTGAATTACTAATTTTTAACTATTCTATGTAGGATAACCCAGCATAGGCTTATTGAATATTGAAAATACTTATTTTTTTGACAGTAATTCCATGGAAATTTATTTTGATAAAATCATTAAAAATAAAGAGATGTTTAGAAATGAGACAAGGATTTTTAATATTTCTATTAGGGTAAGATTTGAAATTATTTTCAAATATATAATTATTTTTATAATATAGAAATATATTTTTACATATAAATATATAAGAATCAGTGGTTAAATTTCTGTCATGAAATTTTGATATATTTACAGTTAATGATTAGATAATGTGTTGTGAAAACTCTTTACATGGGGAAAGGTTTTTAACAGTCAAAAATGAAAATAAGAAGTAACAATGATAACACAGGATGATTGAAATATATTTGTAATGAATAGAGTGGAACAATAGAAATATTTTTAGGTTGAAAATTTGAAATATATTTAAAAATTTATATTTTGGAGTGATAAAAATAGGAAGAATAGAAAATGTGTAGAAAACAGTGGTGGTGAATAATGTATAAGTGAAGACGTTATTTAGATTAAGGAATGTTAATTCAGATTCATAGAATGCGAAACCTAATGCCACACATCTGACATGAGTAATGGGTTATTTTGAATATGTCATAATTTTCCTCAATCGTGCCAGCCTCAGAGATTTACTCAAATGTCTCATGTCTCCTAAGTGATAATGAAAGTAAAAATTATGGCCACCATAAACATAAAATTGGAAATTACTTTTTAAAAGCATAATCAAACCAAAATACTGAAAGAGCTTAAACTCATATCGAAATCAAGAAATGTTTCTTAACAGACAATCTCCAAAGTCTCCAATTTTTAAAATTATTTAGGGGTATTATTTATTAGTCATTGAGCTGCATATATACTTACATATCATGCATTTACAAATCATGTGCATATTAATATACTCAATAATATATCTATTAGAACCTGTAATTTTTATATGGAGAAAAAGCCTTTGGAAATTAAAGTGAGTTGGTCAAGATTATATAGCATGTCCATTAGTTCTCAGACCTTCAGAAAGGATATATTCACTCAATAGCTTTTTTCCCCCCAGAACTTTGTCAGACAAAGGAAGATCTTGAATCAATACCCATAGTTAAAACATGGATATCAGCATTTAAAAAAATATTTCCATGGTGATTGCAATGCACTGGAAATTTTGAGAACCATTGAGTGACATGAGGAATTAGTACAATATTGCAAGTGAGAGTCCAAGTCCACTGCTATTGCCTAATCACCATTTTTCCAATTTTCTTTGCAGATGAACCATTTCTCTACTGTGTGTATTCTACATTCACACTAACTATGGAGCAGAATAGCAGTGTGAATGAGTTTATTTTGCTTGGTTTAACACAGGATGCTCTAAAGGGTAAAATAGTGTTCGTGGTTTTCTTGTGTCTATACCTGGCAACTTTGTTGGCAAATTTACTTATCATGATGACCATAAAATATAGCAGGACACTCGGGGGCCCCATGTATTTCTTCCTGCGTTACTTATCTTTTGCTGATGCCTGTTTGTCTACATCCACGACTCCCAGATTGATTATAGATGCCATGTCTGAGAAGAAAGTCATCTCCTACAATGAATGCATGACCCAGATCTTTGCAGTTCACTTTTTTGGATGCATGGAGACCTTGGTGCTCATACTCATGTCCTTTGATCGCTATGTGGCTATTTGTAAGCCCCTTCGATATACAACAATCATGAGTCAGCAAGTTTGTGATGTGCTGGTGATTTTGGCCTGGGTGGGGTCTTGTATCCATTCTTCAACGCAAATATTTTTGATTTTGAAATTACCGTTCTGTGGACCCAATGTTATTGATCATTATTTCTGTGACTTGCAACCCTTGCTGAAACTTGCTTGCGTGGACACTTTTGTCATCAACCTACTCATAGTGTCTAACAGTGGGGTCATATGCATGGTGAGTTTCATAATCTTGCTTATCTCCTATGTTTTCATCCTACATTCCCTAAGTAAACAGAGTGCAGAGGGAAGAAGGAAAGCTCTCTCCACCTGCACCTCCCACATTATTGTTGTCACCTTGTTCTTTGTTCCTTGTATATTCATATACACTCGCCCTCCAACCACATTTCCAGGGGACAAGATGGTGGCAGTGTTTTATACTATTGGGACACCCTTGCTCAATCCTATGATTTATACTCTGAGGAATGCAGAAGTTAAAAATGCCATGAGAAAGTTGTGGAACAACAAACTCTGACTTTAGGTGGCAAAGATCAGAAGACTTGGATAGCTATACAATCTAATCCTCACCCAGTAATATGTTTGGTGAAACAGGCACAGAGAAAAGACCATAATATTTTGAGCCAAAATAACAAAGATATCAGAAAATCAAATATAGTAATTTTTTGTGATAGGAAAAGCCTGTATTTCACCTTTGCTCTCTGCATTGCAACTTGTGAAGTAGTTCCTTGAAAGCTATACCTTTCTGTCTCTCTTTATTACATTATTATGGCTTGTGCTACTCTTCTACCTGTTTCTGATCCAAGTTAACCCCTACTTTTGTCTGATTCATTTTACTGATAATTTTGTTTCAGCACTACTAAATCTGGATTTTACTTTCTCTGGCTCAAGTGACTAGCCCAAAGTAACAACAAGAAACATAAGAGGGGAGCTTACATATCAGTTAATTAAGTCCTTTTGATGATTGTTTCCCCTTTGCAACACCCTTGATAACTGGAAGTTCCTTTGCCCCTTGAACATGTGTGAGAAAGACACTTATGACCTATTCAAATAAAAACAATCCTAGTCATAACAAACATATGCATTGTATTGATCCACAATTTCTCTCTACATACTTCAATGCATTTTTTGCTTTCCTTATTGTTAGTTTACATTATTTGGTGTTATAAGAATATCTATTTTGTAATTTATATCTGAGGACAATTTCCTAATATTCGATGACTTTATATTTGACATAAATGTCCATGTAGGCAAGTTTCAACAAATGTTTGATGAATGTACTTCTTAGAGGGAAGAGATAAGGAGGAGGAGGAACAGAAGCAAAGGCAGAGTGAGGGGAGAGAGGAGCAGGAGCCAGTGGGGCCTTTCTATGGATCTTGGGGGAAGAAGAGAAAAACTCTGAGTATTAGAGGACCTGTGGCTCCTCTAATGCAGTTTTTCCTGCATGGGAGCTTGGGTCTACATTCTCTACAGTGCCCACTTCAACTTTTGCTATCTCCGCACTGGCTGAGCTCAGTGTTTTGAGTTCAGGTGGCAATTCCTTTCAGGATAGATGCCTTTCTTCCCAGTGTTTGTCTTACTGGTATGGCAGGAAGCAGCACCCTTAAAGTATTTTCCCCATGAAGCTCCACTAGAATGTGAGTGTTTTTCAACAGTGTCATATCGGTTTCTACAGTTACCCAGAACAGGGAAAGAGGTACTGGGTTTGGAATCTGAAGCAAGTGTGCAGTGTCTGGAACAACCCACAAAGGAAGTATAACTAATTCAATATGGTGTACCCACATCCATTATGACTGGTACCCTCATCAAAGGGTGTAATGTGGACACAGAGACAGACACAAACACAAGGGACATGCCCCATGATATACAGGCAGAGAATATTGTGATACACCTATGAGCCATGAAACTCCTAAGATTGACAGTAAAACACCAGAAGCTAGAGGAGTGTCCTGAAAGAAAGTGTCCATTGTAGCCTTAGAAGGATGCTTATAACAAAACCTTAAAATAAAAAAAAATAGAAAAGAAGGCAAAGAAATAGATTATAAATATGGAAAGGACAAAAGTCAGAATATGCTTTTTTTCCTCCAAATTATGTTTATTGAGGTAAAGTAGATTTATACCTTTGCATCTGCTTTAGGTGTTATAGGTTCAAACTTCTATAAATGTCTACTTTCATACCCTGCCCATCCCCACAATCCTATACCATGTTCCATTGGGCCCCTTCCAATGTCCACTCACACCCCACCACCATCTCTCTATGGTTGCCTCAGTTTTACAATCAGATGTTAAGAGTTTAGTTTTGGCTTGGTTTTGACTGACCCTTTTCTATATTCCTTGTATAAGTGAGACCCTCCAGTATTTGTCTTTCTCTTTTTGGCAGTGGGATACTACTTAGCAATAAAAAAGATGCAACAACATAGAAGGGACTGGAAAGAATAATGCTAAGTGAAAATCTGTTTTGTGAAAAGGAGAATGAAATTGATAGACTCCTTCCATAAGTAGCATTTACATGGATGTTTACATCTGTCAAATATTATCTACTGTATGTTCAAAATGGTATACTATTGTATGTAAATTATACATTAAAAAGTTAATTTTCAGATAAAAATATGTAGAAACATTTTTCCACTTTTCTATCACTCTTCTTCCTTGCCTAGTCACCTACTAACTTCAAAATAATTCAGAAATTATAAAAAATTTTCATTATAATTATTGACATATTTATTGGTATCATGAGGATTTATATTACATATTATATTTAAAAGTAACATATTCTATAACAGGAAACTAAGAATAGTTAAGAAGCTTGCCTGATGTTATAGAAACATAAACAATGAAGCTAGAGTTCAGTTCTATCACATCTAATTAACATTTACTGGGATTCAGTTTTGTCTGCCATTAGAAAACATCTGACTTAAAAGAAAGAGCTTTGGTAACTTAAATAGTCTGTATACATCAATGTGATTTTGAAAACCTGCTTTTCCCTTAGATCTACATGCATGGGAGGACTCTTTGGTAACTAAAATGGGATGTGCCCCTTAGGAGTGATGAGGTAGGAAGGAGGGCTCTGAGGACAGGATCTGCCCATCCACAATCTTTTCTGGGATGAATTGTCCCCAGTGTTCGTTGTGCTCATGGATTAAGTGACCTAAGTGGTTCATTGAGCAAAGGAAAGGTAGAAAAGGAGGAGTCCTCGCTCTCTGGAGGCTGGGCATTTGCTGGCTTTTATAAAATTCCTGTATCTATGATGAAAGAAGAAGAAATGTTTAATTCATGACCTCTGCCAAGGAGTGTTTGGGGATAATAGAGTTTTCTCTTAGAGATGCTTCTGTCACAGAATAGTGGGGATATTTCCTTTTTATTCTGGAGAGTTTTACAAGTAGAAGTAAATAATTTTCTTCAGACATTACAAGTCTACAAAAAGGCTTCCTAGTTGGGGCTGGCTCTCATGGAGTGAGACGTCTCTAGATGTTGCAACAGAAAAAACCAAGTGGATCTACCAAAAATGCACTTTACATGTTGCAAAGTCACAGCCCATGATTCAGATTTAGAGTAAATCAATTGGAAGTGGGAAAATGCTGAGCTCTCCATTATAGAGTATCTTTTTTTTTATGAGAATAAAGGTAAGTTTTAAGCCCAACTGATTTATATCCTTCCTTCCTCCTTTTTGGGACGGGGCTTGGGGGCAGTTGCTGTCATGCAGTCCTGTCTCCTGAGTAACCTGAAGTTGCAGGAACTCAATTCCTAGAGTGATGAGAAGACCTTGATGTTTCAGGATTCTTTTGCTCTCCCTGCTTAGTCTGTCACTCTCCAACGCCCAATTCTTACTGAAGAAGGGGCCAGTGAAGGAAGGGAGGTATAGTGTACTATACTTGCAGATTTCTTACTTGTAAAGTTCAAGGTCAGGAAAAGATATGGATGCACACTGACAATATGCAGCCACAATGCTTTGATGCTGGTGATACTATGAATCTATGATACCATGGCATTGATTGGTTTGATTTAATGATACTAATGTTGATTGTTAAGGATCCACTGCCACCCATCCCCGTGTACAGCCAAGATTGTTGGGGGCTAGAGTAAAGGATAGCATGAGAGAGAAGTAAACTCTGTAGCAAAAGCCAAGGATATATAAATTTTTATCTCTAATATCATTATTTGCTTCTCCTTGCATTGTGGGTTTTTTCTGTTTCATCCTGTGGTTTTTCTTCCTTCTCTGGCTCTTTCCCATAAAGGTTTTTTTTCCCCTTTAACTCTGATTCCTTACATCATTTGCTAATCATGCCTCCTCCTCCTCACAATTATTTTTAAAATATACATACATAGTGCTGATGCCTTTGTTCCATCCTGAAGTTTGATAGTCAGTATGTAGGTTGAACACGTCAGTTGTTTTTTTCCTTATGTGCTTATAGTTTCTTAAATTTCTAATGGCTCCATCTGCATGGCTGGAGACTGATGCTTAGCCCAGCAGTGCGAATTTGGAGTCCTACACAAAGACTCATGGCTAAACTCTGCCTTTGATTTAATCCGAAGGGTACAAAATAGAACAATATAAACTTGCCTTACAGGATATTGTAATTTCAAATGAATAAAAGATATTAAAGCAAAAATGATAGAAGGCTGTAATTAAGGATTGCATGATTAAAGAAACATGCATACATTTTAACAATGGAAGGCCATCAGGAAAATAGTATTTGATGGGGAAAACCCTGATGGCATTTGAACTGACTTCTCTGGGTACAGGGGATAATGGAGAGTAGGGGGTTATATTAAGGGAAGTTCATTTAGCTGCTAGGAGAACTGGAAAGTTCAGAGAATGATGACCTGTGTGTATTTATGAGGGATACTTGGCTGGAACATGCACGAACAGAAGCACTGGGAGGAAAAAGTGGAAAGAAAATGATGGCACAGATTTGGAAGGCTTGAAAACCATGGTGAGTATCTCAGTCATTTCATTTGAAAACCTAGCAGCTATTTCATTATATGATTCATCATATTTTGTAAATGCTAACAAAAAGATATAGAGGTGGAAGAGGGATTCAAGGAGGTGAAAGAGGGTGAGGTTGGAAGAGTGAGGAGAAAAGGGGATATCTGATATGATAGCATGAAATTTTTTCCTTAGAAACATAGACTAGGTTTATGAGGAATCTCTTATGTAATTCTGAATTGGGTATTTTTAATAATGACATTTATAAATATTTGACCTGATTTTGTTGTATGTATGAGCAAATAAGTCTCATAATGAACATTCATATAGATATTTCACTCAAAGTGTTAGTTTTCTTCTGCCAAGCTGCATGAGGCATTTTAGTTAGAGTTTAATGGGTATTAAATACTGTAGGAAAGACATTTTTACATTCAGTGTTTTGAGAATATAAAAACAATTCCTTTTGGGGGGGCTGTGAAAACAGTCTATTATATTATAATGATAGATACATGGCATTATTCCTTTATCTATCTTAACCCATAGAATGTTCACTATGAGGAGTGAACCTTATATAAACCATGGATTTATGTATCAATGTAAATTTCAATTACGTACCTTGCTCCTGGGGGATATTGATAATGGGGAGGATTATATATAAGGGCTAGGTAAATCTCTGTCCCTTTCTCTTAACTTTTCTATGAACTCAAAACTATTCTAAAACATAAAACATGAAATATACAACAATAAAAACAACAATAACAGTAATAAAATGATTCTGTTAAAGCTGAGAGATTTGTTTTAAGTTTATCATCAGGATTGTTTTGTTATTTATAATTTTTAGTGAAATTGATGTCTTGAACAAAAATGGTATTGACAAAAGGTTGCCAACAAAAAGCACATTGTATATTTCATCCATAATCTTGAAAAGCAGGGATAATAGACACAAAAATGAATAATTTGAACTGAGAAAATTTTCTCAATGAGGGATTCTTCAACTATATTAACACTTAATTTTTTTTGGAATTCGGTTGCTCAGGTATCAAAGCACACAGGGTGCATAATACATAAACTACGTGTGTGTATAAATGGATGTATAAAATCATTTTAAAATTCTTACCAAAACTCAAAATAAGGTAGGGCCAGCATTTTCATTCCATTTTTCACATGAAAGCCAGATTTCAAAATAGTTAAGTCACTTGCCCAAGAAAAGCACACATTTTTCAATTCTCAATCTTGGAAGGAATCAAAATTGTTAAAGGGAAATTAATTTTTATTCTCTGTGCAAAAGCTTTTGTTCAATCTGAAGATGTGCACGGGTTCATAGTGGATTAAAGATAGTAGGAGGTAACCAGATGGTGTAGAATCAAGGGAATCAGAGTTCAGTCTACTGTCACTTCTTTTCTTCTCTCTACAGATTAAAGCTTTTTCATCTTCAGTAACCTTCAAGTGCCTTCAGTAACTAGTAAGACCATGAATAACAGTGTGACTGAATTCATCCTGTTTGGGTTGACACAGGATGCAAGAAAACAAAAAGCAATATTTGGGGTCTTCTTGATTCTTTACCTTGCAACTCTGATGGGGAACTTTCTCATTGTGGTGACTATTAAGACAAGCAAGACACTTGGGAGTCCCATGTACTTCCTCCTATTCTATCTGTCCTTTGCTGATGCCTGCTTTTCTACCACCACAGCTCCCAGATTGATTGTTGACTGCCTTTCTCAGAAGAAGACAATTTCCTACAATGAATGCATGACTCAGGTCTTTGCAGCCCACTTCTTTGGGTGTATGGAGATCTTTGTGCTCATCCTGATGGCTTTTGACCGCTATGTCGCCATTTGTAAGCCCCTGCAATACCCAATCATCATGAGACGTCAAGTATGTGTGGTGTTGGTGGCTCTGGCTTGGGTAGGATCTTGCATCCACTCTTCAGCACAGATTTTCTTGGCATCAAAATTGCCCTTCTGTGGTCCCAATGTGATTGACCACTATTTCTGTGACTTGCAACCCTTGTTGAAACTTGCCTGCATGGACACTTATGTGATAAATTTGCTAGTTGTTTCTAATAGTGGGGTCATATGCATGGTGAGTTTCATCATCCTTCTTACCTCATATGTTGTCATCTTGTACTCCCTGAGAAACCACAGTGCAGAAGGAAGACGGAAAGCCCTTTCCACATGCACTTCTCATTTTATTGTGGTTGTCATATTTTTTGGTCCATGTATATTCATATACACAAGGCCACCAACCACATTTCCAATAGATAAGTTGGTGGCTGTGTTTTATACCATTGGGACACCCTTACTCAACCCTCTGATCTATACACTGAGGAATGCAGAAGTAAAGAATGCCATGAGAAAGTTATGGTGTAGCAAAGTATGATTTAATTTGATAAATAATATATGGGAATTCAAATGAATATTTCCTTAACGGCTTTACTTTTTCTTGTGGACAGTAAAGATAAAATATTAAGAAATCTATAGATATAAGAAATATTTAGAGATAAAATAAAGATAAAGATGTCTCTCTCACACACAATCTCCATAATATTCTTAATATATATACTTAGTATCCTTATTCTTGGACAATATTGGAACATGATTACTTAAAATTTATAATCATTTTGAACAATATTTGATGACCCTTACTTAAATTCTATCAACATCGGAACATAATAACATGATAATTTAGCTTCCTGTACAATTTTTTCTTCAGAAAGAGATACATAGTGATCTTAGGTACATCCTAAGACCAGGATGATGGTGTGTGCATGTGTGCATGCCAATTCTTCTTCTACTTTTGATGAATGTGATCATAAGAGCCAATCCAAATATCTGAAAATCAAAGTTGCTACCTTGCTAACCTGAGGGTTTAGAGGTGATGCTTCTAGAAAATTCCACTCTGGAAACTGTGCCTGAATCTGCCTCACTGGGCAGATCTACGCTGAAGGACCCCCAACCTCTACAAACACCTGGGAATTTCTACAAAAACCTAGTCTCTCGAAAATCTCTCAAAATTCTGTAAATTCTCTGAATGGTGAGAATGAGTGGAGTCTTATAATTGCATGTGTTAAGCAACATCAGTCAGCCAATTGCCAATCAGGATCTCACATTACACTTTACGAAGGTCAAGGAAGAGGCAGTAAGAGTTGGTCTCACTCATAGCAGGAATCTAGAAAACTTAAATAAGGGACCAGGAAAATGAATAACTATAAGAAAGTGAAAATCAAAATCAACAAAAAACTATGAACCAGAGACACTCTATGGGGGGTAGGGGACGGGGAGGGGAGGGATTGGGGTCAAAATAGGGGGATTGCAATTGTATGGGGAATATAAAAATAAAATTCATTAAAAAATAAAATGAAGTTATTTCAATAAAACTATTTAACAATACAAAAAAAAAGAGTTTGACAGCAAGAATACACAGGAGGGAGGTAAAGGAAAGAAGGGAAGACAGAGAGCTTTGCATCATGAAGGATGAGATAAGTTAAAAGGAAATTGGTAATCTTATCCAAGTGGGAGAGGTGGAGATTTATTTTCATTATATTTCAAGAATCACCTTTGGCCATATAAACAGTTTCAGGAAAAAAAATCAGTTTTTTGATGATGGTCAAGTTGGCAATCAAGTTGGTTCCCTGATGGTCATACTTCTTTGAGTATCAGGAAAAGAGCAATTAAAATTTATTTTGGTTCCTAATGATATCTTGAAACTCAAAATTCAGATTTCTTGGAGAACCCAGCATTGGAAAATCAACTCTATTGCTTCATTTTCTATGCACTTAAATGAGTATTTTCATTTTGAAGATAATCTTACCTATATATATGATACCCATTGACCACCACCACCTCACAAAATCAAGTTCTGTTATGCTATTTCAGTACCCAAGTTTATAATTCCTATCAAACTGGCACCAAGAAGTGTTAATTTGAATGATTTAGACTAATGAGAAAGAAAATAATGAACTTTACAAGTATGTGGGGCATTTCCATCAACTGAAGACAAAAATGTTATCATATCACACCAAAGATTCCCAATAATTTTTGGATAGAAAATGATGGCTGAATAAATATTTAACTCCCAAATAGACATTTGTCAGACCCTCATGACCGTATCACAGGTGGCAATCTTCTCTCAGGCCTCCTCCCAGTGGACATTCCCAATCTCCCTAATTTTATGTCTTAGAGTTTGGTTTTTAAGGAATTTGAATATGGTCTTAATAGCCAACATTTAAGTGCAATTGTTTCTTAAGTAACCAGGGCATAATCAAACAACTTTCATTCTTATCTCTTGCTCCTTTAAAGTTGATACAGTAGAAGAAAATTTTTACTTGGACATAAATGAAAATTCAGAAGCTTCAGAAATTTTTTATCTCATTATTTGTAAGGAGTATGTAGAGTGAGTGATAAAAATAATTTCCTTTGGAATATTTCTGAGATGTGCACCATTGAGAATCAACATGTATATACATAACATTAAGTTCACTGCTAATATATTTTGCTGTGTTTTACTAATAATCCAGACTAAAATTAATCAAATCCCATTGGGTATACAGCAAATTATCTTTTTTAAAAGTATAATTTTATTAACAGGAAAATCTGTTAAGTCAGTAAGCTACAGGTTGTATAAGAGGCAGAGTATATAAAAATTGCCAGATCTTTACTGCTAAAATCTATTTAATGAGAAATAGGGATACCTTATTTCATGAGTGTTAATTTTAGTCATCTTCAAAATGGGTGTGAACAAATAGCATCCTATAATCTAAAAAGTAGCAAGACATAGTCACCAAAAATCCCCATAAGTACAATATATAGCATAGAACTAAAGCTGGCAAGCATTACAATATTTCTTTTATGAAACTTTATCAAGTTATTTAATATCACAAATGTAAAATCATGGACCACATTCCAAGTACCTCCCCAATATTTACATTATGTGATTGTAATAAAATAAAGATCACCCTAAGGCTTTTCTGAAAACCTGACCCATCACACTACTATGAATTTTTCTTCTGTAATGCTATGTAATGCTAAAATGCTAATATTTCTACCCTGAAATGTTTTAAAATGGTATCATGAAGTTCTGCAACAACTGAAAATTAATACAAATAATAACTATGAAAGCTTTCCATACCATGTCCCCTAACTCCTTTGTAGTTAAATGCAATCTGTGTTCATAAATAATTTTTTACTTCATCAGTATTATTTAGCTTATTGTTAAATATATTTTATCATTCCTCCTAAGGTTTTGCAACAGAATTCAAAGTAAGCTTAAATGTTACCTGCTAATAAAATCCTTGTCTTATATGAAATTACATAATGGGATAATCGGATCAATAGAGGAGTGGAAGAATTTTTGAATAGATTCTTGGGGGGATACTCTGAGATAATTATACAATCTCTCAATGTAAGACCAGACTTCAGAGGGACAGATCCACCTAAGGAGGATGAAGGCTTGTTTTCAGATAGAATGAGGCAAAAGCAGAGATGATGATAGTTATAACTGGTATAACTCTAAGAGCAGATGAAAAGGTCCAACATGGGTAATGCATAGAAGGAGAGGAGATGAGCGCCTCAAGATGTGATTGGAGAATTAGAGGCAGCAGAACAATTAATCAGGATATTTTGGGACAAGTCAAGGAGATTCTAAAAGCTTCTAAAAGAGAAGCTGATGATGGATATTAAGCAATAGAATATAATGATCTCTAAATCATAAATCAAGGTCATATTTTGAAGAGCTCTCTGGTTGCTAGTGGAGAATGGATGGTTTTATTACACACACACACACACACACACACACACACACACACACACACTTCTGTTGATGGGAAGCCCATGATATTCTTAGCATGACAGTCACTTGCCAACTGAAGTCCCTTGTTTCAGCCACAATTTCCTCATGGCGTTTTTCACCTCTGTGTTCCTCAAGGTGTAGATCAATGGGTTTAGCATGGGTGTGATGATGGAATCAGACACAGCCATTGCCTTGTCTATTGGGTAAGTGGCCACAGGTCTCATGTACAAGAAAATACAGGGCACAAAGAACAAGATGACTACTGTGCAGTGGGAGCTACATGTGGAGAGGGCTTTGTGCCTCCCTTCAGAACTACGAGACTTCAAGGAGCAGAGAATAACTGTGTAGGAGGTCATGAGGATAAGGAAGATGGCCATACACATCACCCCACTGTTGAGGATGACTAAAAAGCCCAGGACATGGGTGTCCATACAGGCCAGTTTCAACAATTGAAACAGATCACAGATAAAGTGATCTATGACATTGGGACCACAGAAGGGTACTTGATACATGAAGACCAGCTGGATCACTGCGTGGATAAAGCCCCCCAACCATGCTCCTCCCAGCAGCAAATAGCACACATGAGGGCTCATGATAGTCATGTAGTGCAGGGGCTTGCAGATGGCCACATAGCGGTCATAGGCCATGACGATGAGAAGGATGATCCCCACACCACCAAAGAAATGCTCTGCAAAGAGCTGGGCCATGCAGCCTGTGAAGGAGATGGTGGTGATACCGGAGAGGCAGTCCACAATCATCTTGGGGGCAATGACAGAAGTGTAGGTGGCATCTATGAGAGACAAGGCAGTGAGGAAAAAATACATCGGTGACCTCAGATTTGGGCTTGTGACCATAGTGGCGGCAATGAATAGGTTTCCCACAACTGTTAACACATACATGATGAGAAATACAACAGGTAATATTTTCCTCAGCTGTGGATTCGTTGTAATGCCCAGAAGAATGAATTCAGTCACATTGTTTTGCTTTCCCATTTTTCAGGCATTGATATAAGTTCTAGCTGAGAGATGCAAAATCTAAAAAAGCAACATGTGGTTTAAAATTAGTGATTATTTGGCTTGTACATTTCCAGGACCTCAAGGAATTTATTATTATTTTTAAAAAATATTTTTCAAGATTTATCAAGATATAATTTATTGAGATATAACATGGTTTTATGTCATAGCTTAAATCATACAATGTGATGAATTGCTATGTAGGTCTATATGTGGCTGATGATCACAACAGCATTAGTTAACACTTCCATCACTTCACATAATTAGCATTGTTCTTTTGTATGTGGTAAGAACATTTAAGATCAACTTAACTTTTTGGCAACTTTCAAAAATGCAGTACAGCATTGTACATCTCCAATTTTTCTGTTCTGCCCTCCCCTAGCAATCATTGTTCTACTATGAGTTTCTATGACTGACTTTTTTTTTTTAAAGCTTCCACATAAAAGTGATGTACAGTATTTGGAGAATGTCCATTTTAAACACATTGGTATACATTAATTTTTTTTTTCAAAAAGACTACCAATGCACTCTTATTCCACAGGTATATCCTACTCTTGTTCACAACTTTCCCTTTCATGCCTTTAAAAAATCTTTGCTAATATTATAGGCAAAGTACCTCTCTGTAACTTGAATTTCTATGAAAAGCAAAGATTAAAATTTTAAAATATTAATTTTTTACTTTATGGTGGGCATTTGTTTATAACACTGTTTATGATTTAGAAGAATATTTATACATTCCCCAGATGTATGGGTACAAAAGAGGGAGGGGGCACAGAAATATATAGTGAAGGACTATGGGTACTTGGATGGTGGGGGGTGGAATGGTGACATAAATCTGGGGAGAGGGTTTGTTTTTAGTGTTTTATTTATTTCCTAAGCATTAGACTCTAAGAACATACAAAGTGAAGAGTTTATAATATGGATGCTTCCTTATTGTTAAATTCTCCCCAAATCCTCCCCCAACTTAGTATTCTGATTATTAGTCAATATTTTTGGCATCTACTTTATTCTAGACTAGTCCAATGCTGTTTTCAGAGAAGTAACTGACCTCCTTGATTTTATGAGACTTAAGCAAAGTTGCACAGGTAGGGGGTGGTAAACCCAGAATGTGGGCCATATTTTCTGATTCCATAGTCAATGTAAACCCAAACATTAATATTTTTCTCTAATAGCAACCATTACCAAGTACATGAGAGTTATTATGCTATTTTGTTTTCAAAACAAACTGAAGTGGGTTATTCTTCCTGTGCTCTTTTTCAAACATTATGACATTTCCTTTGTAATTTTGTGTTTTACTTCCAAATACTAAATTATCCAAACAATCTAAATTTCCCAATGAAATGATCCTTGATGAATTAGTGGTAATTGATAAAGAACACAAGCCATGATGGCTCAGCAAAGACTCATTACAACTGTCTCAAATCTGAATCAGTCCAAGTCCTTTCATATTGTCTGTCTTCACCTTGACCACCCTGAATATTCATCCTACTTACTCTTAATCCCCACATACCCCTTGTATATATTATTTCCTGTCTCTCCTAGGGAGATGTTTGAGGTTTGCTACTTCTTTTACATTTATCAGAATTCCTAATAAGTTAGTAAGGATGTGAGGACATCGATACAATCAGAGACATTTTGTGGATGAAGGAAGCTGCCATGATGTGTAGGGCACTGGTAATGGCGTGTCAGTCTTCCTGAACACTTGAGAGATCTGTTATCAGATATGTTAGCTTTCCCCACCCTGCCAATCAAGCCCAATAATACCATATACTGAATGTAGTCTTTGTAGATTTGCAACAGACAAAATCAAGTACTAAATAGTAGCTGGAGCTTAGAGTGCAGTACTGAATCCTACACAAGCTCCTTTGTACTCTGAAATAGGTCCGTGAGGAGTTATTTAAAAAAGCTGTTCCAGTGAGGAGACAGACAGTGATAATTAAGGCTATTATTTTCTTTGCCTATCCACTTACTTCACTGTCCCTAATTATTTAAAAAGAAAACAAACAGTAAAAAAACTTGACAGATGTGGTCCATTTTCTATAGGAGTAGGACTAGTAAATTAAAAATGACAATAGAAATCATTGTGAATTGAAAAAATGAAAAAAAAAAGATTGATGCCTTAAAGCTAGCCTGTGGCTAAGAGAGAAAAGCCTAGGGGATTTCCCAGGAGAGGGGACAGCTGGAACAAAGACCCTGAGGTGAGGGTAAGGAGTACAGTGCAATGCAGAGAGTAAGGGCCCTGGGGCAGGTATGCCTACTCTGGTTTTGACTTCTGGAAACCTTTTAGCTGTGCAATTAACTCTTGATAAATTATGTATTTGCATTAAGAAATATTGGATTTGTGTACTAATTAATTCAGTTTAATAATTGAATACTATTGAATAACTATATAATAGTACTGCTATAGTGGCATTGCATAAATACTGCACATTCTATTTTAGTGGTAACTTGTCACTGATAGCATTCCATTCCAGTATGTGAAAATTTATCTTATTTCAACTTTTGGATATTTCAACAATGCTGCAGTGAAAATCTTTGTGATTACATATATATGCTTCTGCTAGATGAATGTTTATGATAGAATGACAGAATTAAAGGGTATGAGTATTTTACATTTAAATTTAAATAGGTATTGGCAAATTCTCCTTTCCAACAATTATTCCTATCAAAAATGTATTAGAGAGCTCTGTCATTCTATAACTTTTTATCTTTCTTGTTTATACTCATTTATTACTTTTTAATTGTGCTATTGTTCTTTTATCTTTATTATCTTATAGGCAAGCACGGCCTTTCAGAAAAAAATTTTGACAAATATTTAAGCTAGTCTTATAGATAAAAGACAGTGACAATTATCTTTCTGTTGATTCATTACTATATCTAATGCAAATTAACAACTATAATAATAATAATGAGCATTTTTAATCATAGTGAGAATAATGAGTTAGTCACTTCCTTGAGGTTACATGAGTTAGGTATAGCTTGGATTTGATTCTTAGAATTCTCAATTCTGATAACACACACACACACACACACATATAAATTTCTCCACTAATTTAGCATATTATTAACCAAGTGTTATAAATTTTTAGAAAAATAATGCTTCAGGTTTTTTCCCCTTAATCAGAAATTAAATATCAATAGTAGCAAAGGAAGTAGAGGCTGAATCTTAGGGCCTATGAATAAAGATAAGTAAAATAATGGAAAAAGAGTAGGAAACACAAATATACACTCCCAGGGAGAGAGAAAGGGGGAGGTAGGGGAGGGTTTGGGAGAGAGAGAGAGAGAGAGAGAGGATTTTAAACATTTTGTTTTATTTACTAATTCTTGTTTTTAATATAGATATTAATTCATTTAATATTTAAAAATTTGCTTAAAAGAATACAAAAGTTGGTCAAGCAAAATAACATGATATAATTCAAATTGTAACTCATGTTCATATTCCATGTTTCCTTATCTGGAGGATGTTGTTTGCAGATAAAGGAAACAGGTTTTGAGTATAAATTGTTGGCATGCTTTAAGGGTAGTAGGTATACATGTACTTACTCAATGCAATTCATTCCATTGTTTTATTTTGAAAGTAATTTTATGCTATAATCCTAAGCAATAACAAAACCTCTATATTAAATACTTACCAAATAATAAAGATGTTTCTTAGAGCTTAGTTTTTACAGTTGCTCAAACGTAGAAAGTTATAAAACTAGGAATTCTAAGGTTATCTCAGGCCAAACCTACGATTTTCACACTCAAGATTCATTCATGTGAAGTGACTTCTTCAAAGAGTCAAAGAACCAGATAAAATTATTCCAACTTGGCATTTATCACTTTGGTGGCATGCTTTCTGGAATATAAATGAAGGAAAAGTCATTCAATGCTTTACACCTTGCTCAGATTTGTGGAACTAGGATTTTTATTGCTTTCAAAGAGTGATTCAAGACAGAACACTTGAGTACTTATGATCTAATGAAGAAATAACATTTCTGGTTTACCAAGGGATTTGCCTTCTTTCCAATTAAGGACAATTTCTAAAAATATGGTGCAGTGTTTGCCAAATCACACAGGTCCCTTTTTGAATCCTGGTTGACTGTTTTCTTAGATCCAAGTGGAAACAGCCTTCATTATACCTCTGAGAAGATACATCATGAGTAGAATTTTCTTGGGCTGATGGAACAGGGCTCAGGTGTCCATGTGAGCAGCAGTGATGTGGCACAGACTTGCATGATTCTAGTTGTATCCCTGGAGACTGATTCTCCACTGATGGAGGTGCTAATCCCCAATCCAGTGAATTTCCATCTACCTAGTTTAATAATTCCCAGCAGTAAGAATATCACTGTGTCCAGATAAACATGCTGTTCCATAAGCAGAAATCTAGATTATAGAATTAACCAGTTAATCATTTGTTTCTGTACTATAATTTGCACATAAAGAAAGACCACACTCTTAGGGTAACTAGAATATCTGAACTAGAAGGAACCTGAGCCAAATCTCATCTCTAGATTCCGTTTCTCATTCCATTTCCTTCCTTGAGTTTGTGAAACTTAATAAGTTTGCACAGTAGAAGTGCACAAGTTAGGGAGTGAATTTCAGTGGTCTAGATTAGAATGAAATGTGACTCAAACTAGATGGCTTTGGTAAGGATTGTAAGATACACTGAGTCCTGTATATATTTGAAGGTAGAACCAGCCCAATTCTAGGTAAGATTGGATGGGGTATGAGGAGAAAAGTGAAGAGTGACTTAAGGTTTTTACCTGAGAATACAATAAAATAGAACGGGCATCCTCTGAGAAGTCTTATGTGAGAGAGGAGACGGTGGTTGTTTGCTGTTGTTGTTTTGAGGGTGGTGGTGAATGGCAGTGGGATTAGTTTATTTTTCACTTTCTGAATTGACATGTTTATCAGCTAACTAGGTAGAGTTTTTTTAAACAGGTAGTAAAATATATGAGGGTAGAATAAGGATAACTGAGATGCTGATATAAGTTTAT